ATTCCGAGATATCTTGCACAGCGTTTCTGAAAACCTAATTTCGAGGAAAACGCGTTTAAAGTTTCACGTCATTTTTCATATGTATCCTTTACTTACTTTTTCTACTTATACATCGCAGTTTTTACAATTCACAACTAAATTGAATCCAAGTCCCCTAATATTCGATTCACAATTCAAAAGTAATATTTGAATCACACGATTTACACTTTGTAATACTGCTTCAAGTTGTAAACAGTGATACAAATTCAATTATCCTGTATCCGCGGATTTATTATTATACACTAAAATAAATCGTTTTAAAGGCTAGGACCTTTTGTATCACATTTTTAAGACTTCAAACTACTATTTAAAACAAAACAAAGAAAATCGATTTTTTGAAAATTTCAAACTGTCCTGACCCTTTATAAATAATAATAATATATAAAAAAATTGTTCGATAAAAATATCGATTTTGTAAAATCGAATTATTCGATTAATTAAAAATATCGAGTTATTGTCCGATAAGATACTCAAGATTTCACTTTTTCTATTGCGTATTTTCAAATTCACATAAATCCAGCTCGTGTCAAGTTCAATGACCACCAATAGATTATGTTCGTTGGGGACAAGTCAGAAACCGTAAGAATCTTTGTACTTTGAATTTATTTAATAATTCACATAATGAGAAACTATCAGCATGTGGTAACAGTTATCACGCTGTTAAGACAATTCTTGCGTTCAATTCGTTAGAGTAAATTTATCAGAATAAAGTCATCAGAGACTTGTCAGTCGCGGTAAATTGCAGTGAAGTGAATCACTTCGAATATTTATCGTACAAATTTTTATCAATTCGTTGCTCGAAGGAACAAATTTACAAGATGACGGCTGGAACGAAAAATTTTCACACAAACGGAGATTAGAGGGACGAGCAGAATCGGAAGGATGATTCTCGATTCACGTGAATCTATTTTCTACTAATATTTACACGCCTACCAGCTAAAACAACAGCTTGGAAACACAAACTCCTACAAACGACGGTGTGAAGTGCGAGAATACATGCTAGGATCTTCGATGAATTAAAATCGTCCACGAAACAATTATTTATATCTTTCATGGTTCTTTGTAGCCTCGCTGTAAATTAAAATCAATTTCTACTTCACTAAGATACCATACTTCTCGCAGAAATGACGATGATTTATCAACCATGATTTTTTACAGCAAACGAAACGAGAAATTGTTCATAATGAATTTCTTGACGCAAGAAACTCTCTAGCAACATTTTTTTCTTTTTTTAACATATTCAATACTGACAGATTTTGTCGCTGGCAAAAAGTTGCAATGAAATGCAAGTATTTAAAATTATTTAGGAACATTGAGATCGTTCACGTAAGAGAATTCTAGTTTCTTATACAGGGTGGGTCACCACATATTGTCATTTAGATTTACGTCATTATTATTACGCATAACGAAAAATGTTTCAGATAAAGTTGAATGGTTTCGAGAAGGGCACATTTTGATGATACTAGTTTTCTTGTAGGTGGACATGTAGAGGACATATGAAGGTCATTAATGTTTTTCTAAATGGAATCATGTATTTTTTTTATTGCATCAGTTGATGCACCTTGATATTATTTACAAAAAAGGTATTAATTGACTATTAACTATTAACTATTAATTAATTAACCTCATTTATGTGAAGAAATCATTTGTTTGGGAGATATTTTAATTTTAATTCTGTAAAATCTGTGCGTGAAAGACAAAGACAGTATAATTCATTCTTCTTCCATGTCTTTCATACGATAATTTTACAAAATTAAAATTAAAGTATCTCCTAAACTAATGATTTTTTTAACATAAATAGGTCAATACTCTTTTATAAAGCTACAAGAAAATTAGTATCATCAAAATGTGCCCCTCTCGAAACCGTTCAACTTCATCTGAAACATTTTTTCGCTACGCGTAATAACAATGACGTAAATTTAGATGGCAACATGTGGTAACCCACTCTGTATATACAGAGCGTTTAAATTTTGGCCAATTTTTGTAGGAGAAAATGAAACTAGAATGTCATGTAACGAAAAGCCCATGGATGTTTCGTTAAAAAGCGTAAATACCAAGTGCGACACGAAAGAACCAATTTTTTGGTTCATTTTCAGATTTCTGCTCATAGAAAAATATCAGAGACTAAACGTAACAGTTTTCGCGAAAATTTTTATGAAATTTGTTGAGAGTGTTAAAATATAGAAATTTTTTTTTTAAAAAACTATACGATTAAGGAATTATACATTTTGATAACAAATAACAATTACAAGTGACCGAAAAATTTTCTCGTTGCTGACAAACATTATTGATGGAGAGGTTGCTTGCTATCGATAAGAGAAATTTATTTTCGATTGCTCGATGAAGAAAACTCCATTTCAGTCGTTCATAGTAACGTGTAAAATATAAAGTATTGTTTTCAATTCAAACGTTTTAAAAATCGTAGAAGCTACTTTTCGATGCAAATCTTGCAAAAATTAACGACAGAAAAAAGATTTTTATCGGCAACCGAGAGAAAAAATTTTTCTTAAAACTTGCAATCGTCATTTGCAAAAATTTTTTTAATTAAAGAAATAATTGTCCCGTGACTTTTTTCATTCTGATTACATTCTGGCTGTGATTCCTGAATAATATTCATTTGCAAATAATGAATCAGTTGAACAAGAATGAAAATCCAATAAAAGTTGATGTGAAATTCGGTCCATGGTAAATTCAATGGCACATTGATTTCAATTTCGCATAAAGACTGACAACGAAATCTTCGAAATGCACATAAAAGTACGTGTAGCTTCATTTTTGTTGTAACTTTTTAAACATTTATGAACTTCTCGCGATACGACATTTTATCTGTAGAAGATTCTGAACAAAATGATAAAATTTCATCGAAAATTCCTCGCAAAGTAAATATTTAAGAGAGAAGCTCTGAACAACTTGTATTTAGAATTGGCTTGAAAGGCATTGAACGAAGAAATTCAACGAAAAGTCAATTCGAATTGTCGTTTAACCTTGAGAAACTTTAGAGACAGGCTGTAGCTTACGTTAAGGGAGTATTTTGGTAATCCGACTTAAAAAAAATCAATTTTTATTTTACATTTTCTCAAAGTATATATATGTTTTCGAAAATGTCTATGTAAAAGGATTCGTTTGAATTCGTAAAATTGGCAATGTTATAGATGTTTTAAAGGAAACTTGCAACGTAAGTGTGCTACGTAAGTATGAATATTTTTGTACAACGGGTAACAAAAGCTTCAAATGTGTTTTTCTCAAAAAATATTTCATTTTATAATATTATTATTTATATTATTATTTATTTTTATATTATTATTATTTTATAACATTTTATTTTTTGTACTGCTCGACTGATCGTAAAAATATTTTTGTACAACGGGTAACAAAAACTTCAAAAAGAAGTGTTTTTCTCCATATTTTTTAAACTGACTGACGAGATATCTCACGTTTTAATTGACTGATTGACTTGAAATTTGGAGATCTTCACCTTTCTCCTTTCCTCTATTTTTTTTTTTTTTTTACCACCCAAAAAACGAAAAGCACAAGAAAAATCGATATTTAAACTTCAAAATGCTGCCATTTTTAAAATTTTTGAAATTTCGCTGTTTCCGTGGTTCATTCGGTAGCCATATTTATACTAATTAAGATGCATTTTGTTTTTTCGTTTCAAATAACCAGATGAGTCAGAATCACGTCAGCCATTCGAAACCATTTTTAAAAACATGCTTTAAGGCTATATAATTTCCACAACTTTCATTAATTTCGTTAAGAAAAAATTGTAATTACTCTTCAAGTATGAATAAATCTGTGTGCGAAAACTGCGTACCAAAACGTATCATGGTTTCTTAGAAAAGAATCCCGAATAAGTGCATTCTTATACCAGAGTACCCCGTTAAGAGCTGAAAATCATGGAAAAATGGCTTTAATTAATTGAAAAATCGACGATTAAATCCGAGCAATCTCGCAGCTTGTACCGCGTGATGTGTCTGCACTTTTCACGGGGGCGACAGCGCGAATTAAATCAACAGCTCGATCGAAAATTAGAGAGGAGGGAGGAACGAAACTGGAGAGAAAGAGAAAGAGGGAAGATAGGGAAACATACAGGTGTCGAAAAAAGGGAAAGCAAAGAGGGAATAACAGTAAAAGGGAAAAGGACGGAGAAAATAAAACACTCATACTCGAGAGTGCGCGATGAAACACAGCTGTGAGAACAAGAGTGGACACGCGCACGGATCCGGAAATTCAACAATTCCTTTACAAAGTTCAAGCCAAATATCAGGGCTGTTAGCCTACGTGCTAGAAATATTTGGCCACCCGTATCAATCTCACACAAATATATATACCAGTTCCTACTAGATATGTTTTTATAGCATTTTTAGCCATTTAAATGAAACTGTATCCCTATCTCTAACTAATCTGACCAAATTAAATAATTGCCTCCTTGAAATAAAACAATTCTCCTTTGATGTAAGCATGTAATTTCTTTTTGTGTGTGTGTGTAAATAACTGCTGAAAAATATTTTAATTTTCAGTCTTAAGTGGAATTTTCAGTAATAAAAATTCTGTGCAATTTTGCAAATATTCAGTTGTAAATATTATAGGTATTATTCTTATAAATCTTATCGTACTGAATAATATTAATCTTTGAAATCATCTGTGATGGTGGCGTGTCCATGCGACTCGTGTGCAAATGTGCATGCGAAGAAATTGGATGGCATAATTTGTGAAAAAAGAAAGACGGTTTTTTTCTGTCAATTATTTCATCAAAAATCAATTTTTTTTTTTTAATTTTTGCTGTCTTTTTCTACTTTTCTATTAATTTCCACCTTATTTTCTACTTGATTCACTTGATTCGTTCTGGAAATCTTCTTCGCGACAGTTACAACTGACCAAAATGGAGAAAAGAAATAAAAAATGAAAAGGTGAAGCAACATGCTCATGAAAACTAATACAAATGGCCAGTAATATCTTACCCAAATGTCTCCCATATATCGAAGCACATAACGTTCAACCAGGAGAAGGCTGACAGAAAGGCGAAGAGCAGGATGTATCCTGAAAATGAAGATAAATACTTTCAGAAACTTGCGTTCTTTTCAATTCTAGTCAGTTAGTAACGCGTGGACACACAATTTTGGACATGTGTATTTTCTGGTGTATTTATTGTATATTTTTGCTTTTACGAAATTGAAGAAACTCTTATACGTGTGTTAGAATATTTACATTTTTTTATTTACAATGACAATTCGTCTGAAAGAACCAAATTTGTGATTGTGGCGCGAATCAGCTGGAAATTAAACAATTGCCAAATATGGATACTTGTTAATAATCACTAGATGCTTTGAGAAACTTCTATTAACATCAAATGTTGTATTTAATTCAAGAGATTTCTTCTGCTGAACTTGATAGTGAATAAAATTCATTTCAGCTGTTCTTTGGAGATTTTAATAATTCTGACTCGCTGTTTTTAATATCTCTACTCGTAAACTTCTCACGTGGCTAAATTTGACCCATCTTCACCCTCTTTTAAATTGTATTTAATAATACAATAATCAATATTTATATTATATTCAATAACATTTAACATTTAATCCTTTAAATTCAATATTCAATAACGTTTAATTCATCTTTCAATTATAATACCACTCCTTTTCTTTTGACATTGATGGAAATGAATGAATGAAGTCTGCATTACACGTTAAACTCTCAGGGGAGTTTTTTCAGATCATGTCAGATATATTTTTATATATTTATCGATGGAGAGAGAATGATGCAAAAAAAGTGTAACAGAATTATTCCTTAAACGTGCCTCTCTCGAAACCTCGTTTCCTCGAAATGACTGACACGATATTTAAAGTTCTAATTGATCAACTCATCAGGCAGAAAATTTTAAAACAATTGTCATCGCGTGAAAAGGAAACTTTTTAAATCTGTTTTTACTCTTTAACCAGCCAAAGACGAAGGATTAAAATTGTCGATATTTTTTAATAAACCTGATTTTTATCTCATTTTCATTCACAGTAATTAAATGTCACTTTTTTGTTTCAGACGAGATATCCAAAGAGACTCCATTAAAACATAACTCGTAATATTATTTTATTTGAAATTAAACTTTAATAAATATTTTCTTTGACTGACCCGAGATAGAATAGTTCTTTAAAACATGAGCCGCCAATTTCGACATGTTCGACAGTTTTAAATATTAGAAAGATGGTTAGGAAAGTCTTTTTCGATGGTTGTAGACGTTTTAAAATGTAAGTAGCTTTAGTCCAATCCTGGAGATTTTTCATCCATTCGACAGAGGACGTATCAAGCTCACTTTTTCAAAAAAAAAAAAAAAATTTGAATATTTCTTATTACGTGAAAAAAAAACAGGAAATCAAAACGAGCACTTTTGACATATTTTGTTGCTTTATTTTGAAAAGGAACAAATACGACGCAAGCGTGTAAAAAGATTTGTGACGTGCATGGTAAAGATGCTTTGTCTGAATGGGCCAAAAATGATTTGCCAAATTTCGTTCTGGTGGATTTCGACATTAAAGACACGCACCATATTCAGGAAGGCTGATGTCAATTGTAAGTGGAAATCGATAGCGGCGAAATAAAGGCGTGAGTCGATGCGGATCATCGCTACACGACACGAGACGTGGCAGAAATTCCGAATGTATCAAAATCAAGCGTGGAAAATCATTTAAAGGCGCTTGGATACGTGCGTAAACTCGACGTTTGGACATCACACCAACTTGTTGTTAGACAAGTTCATCTGATTAAACGCATTACCACATGCGATCCACTTTTAAAACGCGAGGAAAACGATCCATTTTTGAAGCTTACGATAACAGGCGATGAAACATGAATCGTTTACAGTAACATCGAGCGGAAAAGATCGTGGAGCAAACGTGACGAACCGGCCGAAAGCACTTCAAGAGCAAAGATTCATCAAGGGAAGGTTATGTTGTCAATTTGGTAGGATTGGAAAAGCGTGTATTTTCAAGGAATGAAACGATTAATTCGAGTGTGTAGTATCGACAGCTGGACAAATTAAGCAATGCCATTCGCAAAATACGTCCAGAATTAGCGAATCGCAAAGGAGTTGTCTTTCGACACGATGCCAGACCTCATAGAAATTGTTGCAATTAAGATGAGATTCATCCTCCTTATTCACCACACTTTTCACCATCAGACTTTCACTCTCTTCAGAATTCTCCACGAGAAAGAATCTTTGACTTGACGATGCATCTTCGATTAGTCTTTTGCCACGAAAACCAGGACATTTTTGAGCACGAAATTCGGAAGCTGTTAGAAAGATGGCAAAAAGTAGTGGATCAAAGTTTTGTGTTATTCATTTAGAAAAAACTTTTAATATTTCCGCATACTCGGTGATCTATTTCAACAATTTCGATATTTCGTGCGTGTCTTACTTACATTCGGAACACTGTACGAAAATGAGTAAACAACGTACCTAATATGTAACACAGTACAACGTCCTCTCCTAGTTTATCATTCGACAACCATTGTATCACGGTGTGGCAAAAGAAAGCCGTGAGAAGGCTCGAGACGTGACACATCAGAGTTTTGCCGTGGAGATTTTGAAGCACAGGTAGACAGACATAGACGATCAGTGTCAATAGCAGGAAGATACAACTGATTCCCATTAGAACGGTGGAGATTATCGCTCTGTAAAGAAAAAGCACAAACGATTCTAATTTTTTTTTTTTTTAAATTTTCTTCTGTGAATGTGTGTACTTTGTATGTATAAAATATTCACATTTATTCAGCAGGTGTAAAAATTAAAGTGGAGAATAATAGTGATCAATCTTGGGGATTTTAACGCGAATAATATTTACGCGTAAAATGTAAAATATTCTTCTAAAAATAAAATATATAATATTCAAAAAAGTATAAAATATAAAATATATTAAAATATATTATAAAACTATAAAATATTCTAACGAGAATATGAAAATAGAATATACGTAGAATATAAAAATATAAAAGGATCCTTTCCTTGTAAGATGAAAAATATTTCACCATCGTGTCATGATGAAATATTCTAGCAGATAAATTGTTTTCGTGTAGAGTCAATACTGCATGACAATTTCTAAACGAAAAATTTTCGATACTTTAAACTTCATTGTAATTTAGTAAATCGATCCAATCGCGAGAAAAAGTTTTTTAACGTTTTCATGTTTGAATTTGTACAACTTTCGAGAACAAAAGTACAATTACTTTCCTATTCGCTATTCACGATGTGAAAACATCTTGAGATAATTGAAATAATAGAAGTTTTACGCTTTAAAATAGCAGAGCATGCAGATTGATCGTGAAACGTTTCGAATGGGACACCCTGTATACTATAGTCACTTCTCGTAACATTTTTATTTCTCTAGGTTGTATACACGACGTAATAGCTTTGAAACGCTTACGCAACACTCACAAATAAAAATGTCGTTTCACTGAAAAAGTCAAGAGGGAACTGCGACTTTTCCTACAACGCGTTACAACGGAGAAGGTTGAACTGCACTGCTACTCGTAGGATTTTCTCGGCAATTACTTTCAAATAATAAAAATTATACTGGTCACGCTGTGCGTGATTCGTCCCTTGTATTACTACCGCAAAAAATTATTTAAACAGTATTTTGCTACAAATGTTAACTGTTTAACAAACTTGTGTAGTACGTGTAAACAGCAGCTGCTTAATTACAACATATTATTCAGAGAGAACAATGAAATTATTATTTTTATAAAATTTTATGTGTTCTGTTTGTATATACACGTATCATATTAAAATACTATTAACATCTGTTCGTATAAAATGGTGGATATAAAAATGTAAAATACATATAAAATATACCATCAACATCTACTTAACTTCTTGCGCTGCAATGACGTGTCACGCACGTCGAGAACTTTTTGTCCCAAAATTGCAATATTTTCTCAGTTTTGAGTATATTTTAAGTATAAACCAGGCAAAACGAATAATAAATTTATTACTTTTCAATAATTTCCATCCCATGATGTCATATCGACGAGTTCAAAAAGAAAGCGACGATTTATTGTATACGGTTCGGTCACTCGTTATGGTCCGCAATCAGTTGCCAGCACAAGTGGTTAATAAAATGTAAAATATTTATAAAATAGATCATTTCTATTTCTATAAAATACGAAGTAGTAGTAGTAGTTGTTGTATTCGTTTTATTTTGCCTGTATCTACTTCGTGAATCTTTACTTGTTTTAACAAGGCAGAAAGTTCTATTAAAATTATGTCACGCATTATGAAACGAAGGAATCAAGTCTGAAAAGCGAGTGAAATATTTAATAATCTCGCATTTCCACAACGAAATTAAACCACGAATTATGCATACATATATCCACAATGAAATTACTGAAAAGGTGATTTAACATTAATAATTTATGTTTCAAAATGGAACATGATTGAAAATATTATTTGCCTTCATGGTATGAAAGCATATTGTGTGTGTGTGTGTGTGTGTGTGTGTATGCCCATCACGAGATTGATTACGCTAATTAATCTTTTTCGCAATTATCTCTGTAATCGATTACCGAATGAAATCATAATCACGGTATTCATTGATACTAAAACTACCAAAGTACATGAGTATAAAAATTGTATCAGAGAAATTAAAGTGCAAGAAATAGAAAAAAAATTATAATACAGCAAAAACACAGAAACTTTTATTTTATAAAAGATCGTTTAAATTTTTGAAAATGCTCAAGAACGCTGAGTCTTGAAAACTAATCTGAAAAAAATTATAAATTTTGACCATTTTGATAGTTCTAGTATTAAAACACGAAATTTCCATTAGATATTAAAGTAAGAAAAACTAATAGGGAACACGAGTTTTTATTTATACACTTTACGAAAAGTCGTTTAAATATTTAAAAATATATAATACACGTAAAATTTCTAAGAAAAATTATAAAAGAAATTATAAATTTTGACCATTTTGGCCAATTCTAAGTCGCAATCAATTAATTACTATTTAGATAAATCAATAATTATGGAAAGCTCGTGTTAATAATTTATAATAATTAATATTCGATGGCTAATTTATATTTTATTAGAATTAGTAATCTAAATTTTCGTGAATTGAGAATTTTGTGTTCACATTGTTCTAATAATCTTCCTCATATACTAACAGATTTTGTAAAATCGAAGTCAAAATATTGAATCAATCTTTTGTCGACGTGCATGGATCGATATCTTTTCACAGAGAGTGTCGAGCTGCGTCTAAAGAATATGATTCAGAACAAGTTTCATTTCGGATAATAAATTAAAACGAGAACCAAACAGAATTCTATTTCAATAAAAAAAGTCAATATAAATTTCTCCAATACCATCCCTACCGTTTCGTAAAAACAAGTTCGACTTCAACAGCTCTAGAATTAAAAGAGCAATTAGAAATTTAGAAAAGTCGCGAAATTTTGCTGAAACGTCAATGAACGCTGCTCTGGAATAGATCACAGTAAATAGAGGGAAAACGAACACACACACACACACACACACACACACACACACACACACAAAAAGATGCGCACATATATTACGAGAGAAGAAGCGAACGAGCAAACACGAATGTATAGCCACTTCGTTACGACTTGTCCCGGTGAATGGCCCTTCTTCTATTCATCAGGCAAATGGACTTGTGCCATTGTTATTTATTCTTCTGCTTGAAGATATACGAGTGTATACATTGTCAGCATCACTGGCGAACAGCTTGGCTATCTGGCAGTGATGCAGGCACAATACGTGCTGCCGCGAAAGATGTTGGTTTAGGTTAGGTTTGAACGGTTGACCAGCATCCCTCTCGAGGCTCGTCCAATCTTTTATATCTATGGTTTTTGAAATAATACTCGACGACGAAACAGGGCCTTTATCACGAATATTTCACGTTCGTTCAAGTTAGACGAATCTATCGTGCAATTAAACGAGTAACACGATTGTTTAGTAATAAGAAATTTACGAAGAAAGTAAGAGAATCTGGAGATTCATAGAATTACGAAACTTTGTGTGTAATTTGATCACGATTGAAATCGATCTTTCGTTGGTCTCGTATTTTCTTAGGGATCGGATGATTTCGTTCAAACAAATGCAGAAATCTTTTCTTTTATTTTTTTAATATCTTGAGAATCGATCAATTTTTTTTTTTAATATCTTGAAAATTGATCGACAAAACAATTCATGAAATAACACGTGTGTATACTTTTTGGAAATTTCTTTCAGAATTTAAGCTTAAATGGACGCTGTGAAATTTATTGTTACAGGAATAGCTTTTACCTAACGATATACGAAATAATAGTATTGGCTACCGAGTAAATAAATTATTTCCTATGAAAATGCAATGAAAAAATTTTTGTCACTTGGTAGTGTTAAGTCTAATTATTGAGAAAATTTATTATTATATTATTATAAATTTATTATTTATTATTTAATTTATTAAATTATTAAGAAAATTTATTCTACGTATATGCAAGAAATTGAACATGCTTCAGCACTAAAATCTGAAAAAAATTCAAACTTTAGCTTGTAAGTTTGGCCCAAGTGAAATTATTTTGCTCAAAGTGAACAGACATTTCCTTTTTTATTTTTTTCGCATTGATCACGAATTTAAAATTCCTTTTTTTTCGACTTATAAAAAACTCAATTTTGGAAAAGAAACAAATCTTCAACTTTTATCTTGTTTTACATCTCAACATGAAAAAAAATACACAATTAAACAAGGATATACGATTTTTGTTAACGGGGATTAATCTCTCAACCATAGCAATATATTATATTTATAAATAGGAATCAAAAATGTTCGAGAATTTTTAAATAAGTTCTATTTCAAACATGGATCGTAGAACTTTCTCGAAAAATGTTCTTACATCACCAGTCCCGGCGAGCGTAGATAAATAAATGCTCTTGAAAGTAAAAGTTTTAAACAAAATAGAACTTGTACAATAAGGGAATAAAAATTCTTTTGTCAGACAAACAGATAATTTTTTCGTCAGTATTAAAAAAGTCCTTGATATTCGTAGCAAATATCGACACTGAACACCATTCAACGAATAATGTAGAAATGGATTTTTAATTAAAGATTCTAAAACAACTCGTTTCCATGGAACTTTTATTATACAGATTCTAATATATCCGTTCCATGAAAATACTATTCAAAAATGTTCCAAGCGTAATACTTCTTTCTATAAAATTTCACAAGAACAGATATATTTTTAATGTAATTAAATAAATTGTAAATATATTTAACATATAGATTTATTAAATTAATTTAATATACAAATTTGAACAGAATATTTATAAAAGCGAGAAGAACCTATTAATTTCGATCCCTGTTTGTAAATAGTGTTCAGTGATTGTACGTATTCTCATAAGTAAAAAGTGCATATAAGGGTTGATTGTAGCTGCTCACATTAATCTGATCAAAATATTTACCGCTGGTATACACGTGTGTCGCTTGAAACAAGGTGCGCTGGCATTTTGATTGATTGGTTATGTACATTTGCTCAGAGTCGACGAAAGAAGTGATCGATTTCATATAATTGGACAAGTATGACAAACGACTATTTTCGAGCTAACCTTCTCAACTGCGACGAGTAACCTTGAGCGGAAAATTCCACCTCCAATTTTATCAATCGCTCTGACCTGGACGACTATTTGAAGTGTTGTTTCGTTTTGTAATTATCCCGTCTTCGAAATACAATTTTCGTTAGTTCGTTTGAGAAAATAGAAATGGAACAATAGAAATAAAGAAATTACGAGGTTATTTGAAATGGTTGTTACTTCATAATAAATTGTAAGCTTTCGAGAAATTTAATTTAAATTTGAGAAATAAATACTAATATTTCAAAATAAGTTGTACTTTCGAGAAGTTTGATTCAAATTCGAGGATATAGTCATATATAAAAATAACAAATCGAAATAATACCTCAAACAATTTATTTCTCGTTTTATTTTTAAAATAAAATTTGCCCAAGTCTGCTGGGAACAAAGGAATCAAGGGTAATTGGAAATCTTAATTTTTGGTGATTCTTGGCAGTATTAACACAGGTCCATAGAAAAAAGAAGGAACAAGGTCGACTTTAATAAATTTTAAGATCATCACTTTTTCGCATTTCTACGCATGTTCCTCGTCATATTAAAAAAATTAATTTTTACAACGAAATATTTAATCTCTGAAATACCAGAGAATGAGCTTTGAAACTTAGCAAGATACACTTATTTCTGATTCAATTTCTGTTCAGGGAGGTTTGCAAAGTTTGAAAAGTTTACATTTAAAAATATCGAGGATTAAATGATGTAAGATACATTTCAACAGATAAGCCTTTGCGAGAAATATTTTCTTTTTTAAGCAGAGCAAAAAGATTGAATTATTAAATAAGCTTCCAAGAACGACGTTTTTGCGACATTTAATTCCCATCTTTCTGCATATCTGTAGATATGCAAATAACTAAATATACAAAATGACTTTTAAACGCATGTTCATATTTTGAGTGGTGAATTTACAAGTTAAAATACGTATAGAAAATGTTTAGAAAATTATTAGAATGTTTATAATTATTAAAAAATTATTGAAAAATGTTTAATGTGCTATTGCATGTTTTAACACTGAATTTTGCACTTTCTCAAAACTGTCAAGTATAACCTGAAATTTAATACATTCTGAATCCATTCTTCTAAATCGTGCGCATTATCCACTTCAATCGAATATGCAATAAATTTTAAATTACGTCAGAAGTAAAATGATTTTAAATGGATCTAAATGGGCAAAAGTGAATTCAATTTAACTCTAATAAATTCATACGACATTTATTATTTATCTTATTACGCGGGTTAAAATATAGACATGTATTTAAGAATCACTTTGTATAAAATCTAATATTTTAATTTCTGCGCTGCAAATAAAATTCTAAATAATTTAACAACAAAGCATAGGGGAGCCACTCTCTCCTCCGGCTTAATTTTCCTCTGCTGCAATTTTTAAGAGAGTGACTGAAAGAGTGAAAAATTTATGTAGAACTGGTCACTGGCGCAAGCGACGAGAAACAAAGAAGGACAAGTGCAAATGTCCCGAAGTCAACTTCTGTTGAATTTTACAAATCTCGACTGGTTCATCCGGTTTAAATATTCCGAGGTGAAACGAACAGGTTCGGCGAGTGAACAGCGGCGATGTATCGGCTTAGACATTTACAAGCGCGCGTCTGCGATGGATTGATGCGAGCAAACGACGCGGAAAAGCCGATTATGTCTCTTTTTGCATTATTTTATTTCTCTTTGATTTAGTTGTCGACTCAGTTGCTGTTCGTGTCTATAATGAAAAGAAATACTACTTTAAACGATAAGTAGTAAATAATCTTATTTATTTTAAAGTGTACGTATAACTTTGGCAAATGAAATATCTAATTTTATTTGAAAATATTTGAATTCTGTCTCGAAACATTTTATTTTCTTCGTTTTGGATGAAATGATTCGCATTCGTGCTGAAATAAAACAGAAACAAAACGAAATTGTACCTGTCAATTTAGAATAAGAAAAAAAAAAAATTACATCATTCCACAAGTACTGCGATTTCTTGGAATTTTCAAACAATTCAACGTTGTCAAAAATATTTTTTTACCATAATTATTTGTAAACATCATTATTAATATCATTTTAAAGAAGTTGTAATTCTCATCTTAATTTCTTTCAATATCATTATAATTAGAAATTTTAAGGTTTAGGAAAGAATGATTCGAAAAAATTGCATATGCTTATGGGATGATACGATACTTAAAAATTTAAAATACCAGAAATTACATTTAAATGAAATATTTTATTTTACGCTTCAGATTATTAAAGTGAAGATATTTTACTTTACGTTTCAAATTATTAAAATAAAAATGCATTCTGTTTGTTGAAATCTCAAATTCTGTTTAAGCACTCCTCCATTTGAGAATCTAAGATATTAAATAGCAATAAATTTGAAATAATATTTATTTGACAAAATGAGTAATCGGTAGCTCCCAGGATCGTCTTTTAGCAGGGGAAAAGTTGTTCCGTTATTACCATCATGTAAATTACATTCATACAAAGTCCTAAATTTTTTATTTAATTTTAATCATTTAATAAAAAATATTTAATTTAATTTATAATAAATATAATATTATATATTATTGTAAATAATTTATAATAAAAATTTAATTTAATTTTATATCATTTAATAAAAAATATTTATTTAATAAATTTAACAAAATTTAATTTAATTTAAATAATTTAATAAAAAATAGCGATAATTTAATAAAAGAAAGGAAAAGAAACATTCGTTCATTTTAAAGCGTGAAGCTTTTACTTTCACTGCGTTCGTTCTTTTTCAAAGATGTTTCTGCATCATTTTGAAAGAGATTGAGCAAAGATACTTTTTCTCTCAAAAATTTTGCAAATTTAAACGTCATTGTGGACATTAAAAAAACTTTATTCATAACTAAATCATGAAATCTTGAAAATTGAAGTCTCCTCTTTGTTATAAGATTCTTTCTCACAAAGTTAACATAATATGTGATATAGCGTTACAGTATAAATAATATAATATATTACATTACAATTACATTAATAATGTAATAGTTTAAAACATCGATAATTTTTCATCGTGTATACGAAAACATTTTGGAGTCACTGCAGATAACATTCAAGTCGATATCATTTCAAAAATATATAGGGCGTCCCATTCTAATCTATAAATGCAATTACCTCCGAAAATATTCATATCCATTATAATTATTATTCGTTATTTAAAAAAAATGTCTCAAATGCATTTTTTCCTGTTTTCAGAGGACAGTAATTTAGAGAGTACACTTATTGTTAGTTTGTCTTTAGATAGACACGTGTAAGAGATACGAAGGTCACTACTATTTTTTCAAGTATAATTGTGTAATTCTTTTTATGATGCAGCAGGTCACTATCTGTAAAAAAGTATTAATCTATTTTAATATTGAGAAACTGTTAGTTTGGGTGATACTTTAATTTTAATTTTATATAAAGTCTATCATATGAAAAACGAGGAAGGACAAGCGTCGTATTCATACTGTTCTTTGCACAGATTTTATAAAAAAAATATTTTCTAAACTAATGGGTTGTAAACGTAAATTAATACTTTTCTGTAGATCTGCTGCATTCTCGATCCAATCTAATATTTTTCAATTCTAATCTGCTTTTTTCAATAATTCTACATAAAAACAGAAATCAATATTTTGTTACATTATGTTTCAAAGTGTAAATAAACCTGTCAATAAACGAAAACTTGTAGACGTATTTTCTATGGTGTAATCGTAAGAGAAGATAAAATCTCTTACTTGACATTGTCCTCGTTCTCGTCCTCGTCCTCTTTCTCGTTCTCGTCGAAGCAAATAAACACGACTAGACCGTCGTATTTGGAATTCGATAGAGAGTCCATGCAGTACATTTTAGGTGGAATCCACACTGAAGGACTAAGTTTGAAGTATCCATTTGCCGATACACTGTGCGTATGGTTCATGTATTCGGCATAAACATAGCCACAATTCAATCCACTCTGCACACCGTATTCTACGGGACACGAAACACAGACGTAAGTAACCAAACAAAAACTAAAGAGATTAAAGACTTTTTTTTTTATTTTTATAATGTACAGTCAGTCACGGAAGTCTTCATACACCCACAAAATTTGCTATATATCTAACTTAATAAAAAAATTTAAGAACATACACTGAGTCAAAGAATTGTTTACATTCGCATATTAACACATGATAACCATGATTTGCGTCAATATATTTACGTGTTTCCGAAGTAAATTAAAAAAAACGTAAACTAGTAGGTCACACCTGAACGACCTTATAAAAACATAATGATTTGTATTATAAATACAGACTTTCGGCTCCATAGCTTCAGTTAGAGTGTAAAACGACTTCGATAATAAATACATACCTTGTTATATAATATATAATACACTATATATATAATACAAATATATATATATATATATATATATATATATATAATATATAATATATAATACACTATGTCGACAAAGGAAGAAAATTTCTTTAGATACTCGTAATTTAGTGGTACAACTACGAGAAGAAAGAAAATCTTATAGAAAAATCGCTAATATAGTTAAAATAAGTCGTACAACAGTACAATCAATTAAAAAATTTTAATTTGAGAGGTACAACTTTTAACAAACCTAGAACTGGCCGTCCAACAGAATTAAATGCTCGTGATGTTCGTACTACAATTCGTAAAGGGCATAATAATTCAAAAATTAGCGTAACGCATTGTGGAAACCACGAGCAAGAATTGTCATCCAGAAACTGTGAGAAGGATATTGAGAAAAGCTAGTTTGAGTTAGGTTTGGGTTAGATTTGGGTTAGGTTTGAGTTAGGTTTAGAAGAGTAGCGAGAAGAAAGAAATTTCTATCCAGAGTAAATCAACAAAAACAACAAAAACGAATTTGGAATTTTGGAAGAAAGTCGTATTTACAGATGAAAGCAAGTATAATATTCTCAGGACGTTATCTGATGGTAGAGGAAAAATTTGAAGAAGAAAAAACACGAAGATGGATACTAAAAATTTAATTCCAATTGTTAATGGTGTGGAGTACAATTGTTGTGTGACCAATCATGCTTTACGAATGATAATGTAAAATATCGAAATCTAGAAATTATCAGAAAAGTGTATTACCGCGAAAGAAAAATTTTTTAGTACATGCGACAAAATATAGTTGAGAAAAAGAAGAGATGTAGATCGGATCTTAAAGAGAATTAAGACATTTTGTTTGTATTTTGTTCAATTGTCAATCATAATTTGTAAAAAAGTTATTATTAATTTTATTAATTTTGTCTAATTATATATTAAACAAAATTCCTTAAAACAAAAAATTCCTCTTGCAAAATAAAATTAGCACTTCTAGTTTCGAGAATTTCGATACCTCACAAAGTTTCGGATCCAAGCGTCGAGAATTTAAAAACTAGCTTCGAACTCATTTCAAATTATAGTACGTTGGTTATTATGTTGGTTGCCAGTATGGATATTTGTGTTAAATTGCTTCGAAATGAGAAACATTTATGATCTTTTTTGGCAATAGTGCACAATGTGCAACTTTGTAATGCACAATTTTGTGTTTAAAGGGCTGCATCAGAATATCAAATATTAGTAACTGTTAGGAATTAAAAAAAAAAAAAAAAATGGCAAAAATAAAAAAATATACACTACTCCACAAAATTAAAGGACCACTAAATTGTAATAAAAAAAATTGTTGATCTTTAAACTCCTGCAACCTTATAACAAAAAGTCGTACAATATTCTGTCTGGACTTATTTTAAATAATCGAAGCATCCACTTTCAACATTTATCGTAAATTTTTTGTTTGAAATATATGTTTCCTTTTGGAAATTTTTACAAATTCAAACTTCTCAAAATTTATGTACTATTACACATATTTGTAATTATAATTTTCTTTTAATTTTGTTAAAAATACTTTTCTATAATATACAATCATATAAAATTTCAGCTTCTCGTAATTTACGACGGAATCGTAGTTTAAACAGCTAATCATTATATATTCTTGTATTATTTTATCTACTTATATTTTATATTACTTGCATTACTTTGTATATACTTTCTTTAAAAAAAAAAAAATATTCTCTTTAAAAAAAAAATTAATACGAAAGTATTTTCAACTTTTGTTAAAAAATGACGAGTGAAATTAAAGTGGAATTAAAAAATTATTTCACGTATTGAGTATTACAGGAAGCACTATTACGCTTTGGACACTTTGTCGTCATTTTTCTATATATTTTCTATCATTCTATATTTTCTATATTTTCTATATTTTCTATATTTCTATATCTCAAATTTTCCATTTGGCGCGTAAAAGTCCACCGTCTTTAATTCTGACTAGCCAAACTAATCAAACGAACCGCCATGAGTACTATTCTTAAAAGCATCGTCGGGAAACAAACCTGTGGCGTTCCAAGTCGTTTCAGTGAAATTCGAAAAGTCCTCGTTGAAATTCCGTTTGTCGCCAAGTGCCGAACAGTTGACCCTATGGCCGTTGATCCTAAAGTTGTTGTCCACGTCCTCCAGGCAACATTTTTTTACACAATGGCGGCCCTGGCAGTATTCCGCGTCTCTGCACACGCGTACCACCAGCCGTTGATTCGAGCGGAAGTCCGGCGTCAATTCCAGACAAGAGTTCCGTTCGGTCAAACTTTCCACGTGATCCCGATTTCCCGACAGCGTCGCCTGGAAAATTACGCGGAGATGCTTGGCATAATTGTAAAAAATTGAAAGGCGGGTGATTTTGTCCGAGATTTGAAAATTAACCCATTTGCATCAGTGAGCGGAATAATCTCGATATTCATTCACCACCTTTCATCGCCGTAAAACAAATTAAATTGAATTGTCATTTTATTTACTGCATGATATTGTCGTTTGTCTGATCGTTGCACGTAACTTCCAAGTAAAATCAATAATAAACAAAAAACGCAAGAACTATTGTTGTGCAATAATGCGGGCTAGTAGCGCTAGTAGATCTGTGCATATCATGCAAATAGGTTTTAACATCTTGTGCCACGCACGTCGAGAATTCTTTGTCCCGAATTGCAACATTTTCTCAGTATTATGTACAGGGTGTACCAAAAGTAACCAATTTGAGAAGTAACGTGCAAAATTGTCCTCGACCGGTTTCCTCAAGGTCAAAATTTTTCATTGTTGCATCGTGATCCACTCATCGAGAAAATAAAAAATCTTCAAGAAACCATGGGTCAGAAATGACTCGTTCTCCTGAAAAATGATCACATATATCCACTTTTAGTTTTATTAAACTTGCCATAGATGTAATATGTTTATATTTTGCAATGGAATAGGCTCTGCTATTGACTATTGATGTCATATCGATGTCAAGACGAATTTAACACTGTATAAACTAATCAGACAGCGTATTATAGCGAACGAAAAGTCTGATACACAGTGCGGAGGTCTGTATCATAGTTTAAGGTTATTTCAAAGTCACAGTATATAATACACTGTTGAATTCGTTTTGGCATCAGCAACAACTCTGTGATATCAAAAATATATGGTGCCATTTGAAAAGGTGACCTTGACTTTTTTACGTAAGAATCAAGTCATTTGAGATTTATTAAGATCACCTTGACTTTTTTAAAATGGCACCATATGTTTTTGATATCACAAAGTTATTGCTGATGCCGAAACAAAATTCAACAGTGTATTATACTGTGACTTTGAAATAACCTTAAAATATGATACAGATTTCCACACTGTGTATTACACTTTTCGTTGTCGCTATAATACGCTGTTTCTAATTAGTTTATACAGTGTTGAATTCGTCTCGACATCGATATGACACCAATCGGCAATAGCAGAGCCTATTTCATTGCAAAATATAAACATATTACACATGGCGAGTTTAATAACAAGTGGATATATGTAATCATTTTTCAGGAGAACGAGTCATTTCCGATTCATGGTTTCTTGAAGACTTTTTAAATGCGATGCAGCAATGAAAAACTTTGACCTTGAGAAAACCGGTCGAGAAGAATTTTGCACAGATATTACTTTTCAAACGGATCTCCACCGAGCCAGAGGTGCAGAATCTAGCTGTGATAGTCTATACACATAATTTTGTACAGTGAAATATCTCAGAATAGGTTGAAGCTACGAACAAAATGTTTAATACAAAAGCTGTTAAAATATAAAAAGGTAGGTCTCACGTAGTATTAACAATTTTTTTCATTTTTCATATAATGGTGGAGGATATTTCAACATCAACTTGATTTTTTTTAAATCAGGCCATACATTTTCGTATTCGTATTACGACAGCTGGTTTCAATACGAATCCAATGACCTACAATGTTATACCATTTCTTCCAGTTAGTTTTGAATTGAGGATGATGAAATGAACGATGAAGAACGACAGCATCGAATGTCACACAATGTTCACAGATGAGTGCACTTTTCACACCAATAGCATGATTTGTCGTCAGAATTATCGAATGTGGGCAAAAGATAATCTGCACTGGGTTCAAAAAAGTAACAACCAATACCGAAATGCCATGATGATCTGATGCGGAATTCATAGCAGAAGAGTGATTGGACCTTACTTTTTTGAGGAGGCTGTTAATGCAACAACTTATTTCAGGTTTCTGAAAATATTTTGAATTTATCCATTATTTTGAACAATATGCAAGAGATACTGGGGCAAAAGTTAGCCTTTCAACATGACGCTGCACCTCCACATTACGCTACAGAAATTGGTTGAACAATACGTTAAATAATAAACGGACCAGTTCAGTGGCTCCCAAGATCGCCTGATGCGACTTTTTTCTATGGGGGTATTTGAAAGAGCAAGTCTTTCAAACTCCAACTGACAATACCGATGAACTACGCCGAAGAATCACAGCCACGTGTGAAACAATATCAACTGACACACACGAATACCTCCTAAGCAAAACAGAACCACCTTTCTGCAACACCTGCAATCAACAAATCACCACCCAGCACCTGCTACATGAATGCAGAAAATACCGAAACATAAGAAGTAAATACGGATTAAACCAAAACACCGCTCTAACCTGTCAGAAACAACAAAAAAACGTTATGAACTACCTAAAGGAGACCCAACTACTAGACCAGATATAAAGAGACAATTTCAACACGTCGCTAAAGACTTTGTAGTTGATGCGACGCTAAACCCTCATATAAAAAAAAAAAAATATATCAACTGAGACTTCGGCAGAAAGTTGAAAATAATTTTTTAATGCAACTTCAGAGGTGTATGAATGATGGTCATGTTGTACGATAAGGTAAGAAAATTTTAAATTCAGGTTAATGGAAGCTTAATGATGAGTAATGAAAATGAAGAAAACGATCAATGATATAAAGAAAAGTCTCAAATTTTTAATATTTGATTTAGCAATAACAATGTGTTATCAATCCGTTCACCGAAACTGAAATTGAGCCTCAGAACAATGATTCAGCACGGGATAAAATCAGAATAACGCGTCATAATCAAGGCAACCGACTTGTAACACCATGTCCGCCACCGACTATTGCGAACTTCATCGTTCTTAATTTAGGACTAACTGGAAGAAATGGTACATCATTGGATTCGTATTGAAACCAGCTGTCGTAATACGAAGAAAATTATGGTCTGATTTAAAAACATCAAGTTCAGAAGTTCCTTGAAACATCCTCCACCATTACATGAATGAAAAAATTGTTAATACTACGTAAAACATTCAATCATACTAAACAGCTTTTGTATGAACATTTTGTTCGTAGCTTCAATCCATTCTGAGATATTTCACTATACTCAGTTAGACGAAACACCCTGTATATTTAAATGTAAGCCGGGGAAAACAAATGATAAGTTTATTACTTCTTAATAATTTCTAGCCAGTGATATCATATCGACGAGTAAAAGAAAAAGAAAGCGACGAATTATTATATACGGTTTGGTTGCTCGTTATGGTCCGCAATCAGTCGCCAGCGGAAGGGGTTAAATATGGAGTTTCGGAGCACTGGGAAAAATGGCAAATTCGACAAAGCGAGAGACAACACCGAAATAATTTTAGATTAGGCTTTTGCAATGTATTGTAAAAGTCTTTTTGACACGATATTTTTATTTTCTTTCATTATGATTGGTTCGTTTCGATGGAATTAACATACATATATTTTGACACATATATTTTAATTGAATGATATAACTTTTGTTGTTATTAATGATACAACTTCTGTACATAAGTTTAAATTCTTGTACGAAATAAACATAGATTCATTTTTTCATATATTTTTCTATTAAAAGTTTAACCAAAGTTTAAAAAAACAATGAAAAGCTTGTCATAATACTATTGATAAAGAAAAATTAAATATTTAGTTTGTCCTCTATTTTTAATCACCTCAACTATCTTGTGTGGCACAGAGTTTATTATATCAAACTTAATATTATAAATAATATTAATAATATTATATAATATATAATAATATAATAATATTATATAATATATAATAATATAATAATATTATAATATGTTATTAATAACATAAAACTCAATATTATATAAAAACTTTGCACAGAGGATATTTGTGCAATGTTTCTAATTCAGTTTGAAAGCACATCTCTCTTATTCCATTTTTAAGTTGTTCAAATTTACAATATTGCTTTCCGTTGGCGTACATTTTCCGTGCTGAAATTCTCCAAAAGTTTTCGATAGGATTCGTGTCGGAAGTCCTCGATGGCCAAGCTAATGTTTCAACATTCACCCCTTAAAACCATGTTTGCATAGCTTTGCACGGTGAATTGGAGCGTTATCATATTGAAATATGAAATTCGATCCACCAATAACGGTTCTTGGTATGTTTCTGCATTTACCTTCGGTAGAAACCACATTACACTTGCCTTATTATAATCGAACGCAGCCCATATCGTTTCAGTTTTTGCTCATTTTTATTCCTTTTCCATCGTGCAAATCGTGTCAATGATATTGGAGACCATCCAAATTAAACTTTTTCTCATCTGAGGAAATTACGGTTTTCCATTCGTAAGAAATTTCCATATCATGTGATTTCGTGTAAATTTCAACTTTGATTCTTTGTGAATCTTCGTTAGAGATTTAGGTTAGAAGCTTTTTCAATCCTTTTTCGTATAGCGAACTTCTCCATTCGACTTTGAAATTTGTTATACCCGTCGAAAAACAACTGGCATAATTTATTTTTTAATTTTTCATTCATTTGAGAGGCATTCAGTTGATTTTTCCAAGCGTCTTGGAAAATTTTGAAATCTTTATCTTTGCGACTAATTTTTGTTGAACGACTAGTAAATGTTTTTGTGACAAATGTACCGCCCAATTGTCCAAAATGATTGACTACATTTCATGATCTTTTTCGGTTTGAAAGGCTCATTTCTTTAAGAGTATCTGTCCTTTTTCTAAATCATTTAGTTTTTCCACGACTCGTCACTCTTTAAATAAACGTAAAATATGTTTTAAAAATGTTCAAATTCTCAAATCTGTTCAAGTCACAAATCTTGCACTCAACTCATAAAATATGCGCCATCGAAATAATTTTTTAATAATATCACTACGAACCTAAGATTATTTTATTCACACGATAATTTTAACGAAATTCCTCAGCAAAAGAACAACGCAAATAACTGATGCAACATTAGGCATCACGTTAATAAATGAATAAATATCGCAGTTCATTTTTTTTTTATAAAGAAAATA